AGAGACTTTGCTTACAGTTATACAAGAGAACCAAGAGCAGCTTCACAGGGGCGTCTGAGGATGTGAAAACAGCAGTGGGGCAGAAGCTGCAGCCACCGCTCCATCCATGCTGTGGACACAAGCAAAAATGGACCAGGGGGTGATCTGGGAGGCACAAAACTCCCGTCACACGTGTGATGCAAAATGCTTGTGTTGTTCCCAACAAATAGGAGGGCTTTGTAGAGTGAGGATGGACCCTCAACACAGTTCAGCACCAGACCAGGTCTGGAAAACATGGGGCCAAACTAGATGTGATGGTGTCCTTGCGGCTACCTGGAGGGCATCAATGCCATTTTAAAGTCACAGAGGCCTGATCAGGCTAGGGTTGTCATCCTCCAGGTGGGGCCTGGAGATCTCCAGTTGATCTCCAGATGACAGAGATCAGTCCCCCTGGAGAAAATGGCTGCTTTGGAGGGAGGACTTTATGGCATTATTCCCTGCTGAGCTCCCCATCCTCCCCAGGCTCCACCCCCAAATCTCCAGGAATTTCCCAACCTGGAGCTGGCAACCCTAAGCCCACAGCGTGACATTCATTTCCCCCTTGCATGCCTTTTCAAGTATCGAAACAGTGGCCGGTGCAGGGTTGCCAGCTCCAGGTTGAGAAACACCTGGAGATTTTGGAGGCGCAGCCTGAGGAGGGTGGGTTTGAAGGAGGGGAGGGACTTCAGTGGAGTATATTGCCATGAAGTGCACCTTCCAAAGTGGCCATTTCCTCCAGGTGAACTGATGTCTGTCAGCTGGAGATCAGTTGTAATAACACGAGGTCTCCAACCACCACCTGGAGGTCATACAAACGTGAGAACACGGAGAGGTTGTAAGTAAATTTAAAAAACAACTGTGAAATTGAACAGATTGCATAATAATATCAAGGCTGTTTTTTGTTTACTTACCACCTGGAGGCGGGCAACCCTACACCACTGTTTGTGGCCATTTTGGCACTTGCTGGGGGGGGGGGAATAACCTGCTGTGCTATCCCTTGTTGCATTTTTAAATGCCTTGAAAATGGCGGTGGTGTCCCTTTGCCTTGGAAATATGAAGTTGTAACAAAGGGAAGAGTGCTTCTGCAGACCAACAGAGCATCTTTCCTACATTACCACAGTTAACATCTTCTCAGGTAGGATTCAAGCCCAGCGAGGTCCTGGTTTCCATCATTTGTTGAAATTTTGCACCGCTTTTTTTTTTAAAAGAGGCAACTTAAAGCATGCCCTTTCATCCAAGCACACCTGATTTTCAGCAGATTGTACTAACCCCCATAAATGAACCAGTGTCCAAAAGTTAAGCACTAGGTATGATAAAAGAAGGATTGTACACTGTTATCTATAATCCAAAATGTATTGCAATACTACAAGCAACTATCCTTTGAGAAGTTTATTTTACCTATTGTTAAAAGTTTCTACTTCTAAAAACTTATGTATTGTTACTAAATAATTACCAATAAAATGTTAATGACAAAAAAAGTTAAGCACTTCTAAATATGCTACCAAGTGGACATAGTTGACTGCACTGCCAATGAGACTACTGGGCCCGATCTTCTTCGCAAACCCAGTGATCCAGGTTTCCACAGAATGGATAGGGGTGTGCCCACCCACCCCCAATTTACCAGCCAGGAGGGAGACTGGATGGCTGTCCGACGAGGGAACCAGTGGTGAGACTTCAGGGAGCATGGGTTGTTTTAGCCAGTGCTGCTGAGACATCCCTCACTTGGGGCAGGAGGATCTCTTTTTGGACCATTCCTGTTCACCCCCCCAGGAAACGCCACAGGCCTCAACCAGGTTTAGTCTGCTTGAGCTACTCTATGGTCACCCCTCATGGTATATTGGCCCTGATGAAATGCCAGTAGGCGGCGCAACCCTCTCCTGATCCACTATAATGTGTGTCAACTGTAGGAATGGCTGGAATGGGCCCAATTCCACCATTGGATGTGGTCCAGGAGACCAGAAATCCTGGTATTACCAGGGGACTAAGTTGAGGGTGTTTGGTTCCAGTGACAAGGTCTTGGTGGGCAGCTCCAGGGCAGGGGGATGACACATGGCTCAGACCCTTCACCACTGCACAGGTAATGGGACTCCTCACATACGATGGCAGCAGCCACCTTTCAGCAGCTCGTTGATATGGTTCTGGCAGGATGCCACATGTTTGCTGCCACCTACATTGATGACATAATTGTATTTCGACCTGATTGGGCCTTGAACGTGCAACATCTGGAGATGGTGATTAGAGTCCTAGACTGGGACAGGCTCAAACCCAACCCCAAAGTCATTTGGGGTTCTGGGAGTTAAAATATTTGGCTTTCATAGCAGGAGAGGTTCAGGTCTGGCCAGTGCCAGAGAAAGTGGTAATGCTAAGAGAGTACCTTCAACCCCAAACCAAGCATCAGCTAAGGAGGTTCCTGGGGCTACTTGGTACTATAGCCACTTCATCCCACACTACAACATCCAAATCACTCCGTCACTGATTGCCTGAAGAAGGGCCTCCTAAACCATCTGCAGTGGACCTCTCTACGAGAAGCTGCCTTCTGGAAGCTACGCCTCAATCTGTCCAGCATGACAAGCCTACGCAACATGACAACCCAGACTTTGATTGCCCCTTCATTTTGCTAACAGACACGTTGGAGTTGGGCTTCGGGGCAGTACTCTCTCAAGAATGGGAGGGGCACGAATATCTGATCATGTTCCTAAGCCAGAAGCTGCAACCACCCGAGACATGTTGCACAACTGTCAAGAAAGAAGCCCTAGCTGTTAAATGGCTGTGGGAGCACTGCAATATTATCTATACAATAATTCATTTATTTTGGTAACAGGCCATGCTCCATTACAATGGTTAGAGTGAATGAAGGATCACAATAACCATGTCTTATAGTGCTATCTCTTCCTTTTGCCTTTCAGGTTTATGGTGCACTATCAGGCTAGGCACCACCATCTCAATGTGGATTGCATGACCTGGATGTTCGTGCCTTCAGATTCCACCAGGCAGTCACAAATGCAGGTGCGTGTGTCTGGAGGTGGCACCCGCATCCCCATATTTATCAGCCAGGAAGGAGACTGGATGGCTGCCAGATGAGGGAATGAGCATCAAGACTCCAGGGATTGTGTGTGTGTGTGTGTGGGAGTGTTAACGTCGCCGAGACATCCCTCACTTGGGGCAGGAGGGAGGGAGGTGGACCCCTCCTCCCTTGAGTGGTGGTTGAGCACAGAGGAGGCTGATGACAGTGACAGGGAAGGAAACAGGAGCACCAGCAGCAATGTATGTGGCAGCAGGGAAGGGAGGTTGGAGGCTGGGACAGCAGCCCCACCCCATGCTGAGGCTAAGGCAGGAGGGTGGGGCCAGGGGGAAGGTGCCCACGGGGCACAAGGGATGTCCATCACTCAAGTCCAACCCAGGAAAGGGGGGGATTAGAGAGTCTGATAGTGATCCGCCCTAAGGGGGAGGACTTAAGCAGCAGGTGCAGAGCAGGACAGGGAGGAAGAGGATGGGTGAGACCCAGAGACAATGGAAGAGCGCTGCTCACTTCTGCCGTTGGAGCCAACAGACTGTGTGTTAAAAAAAAAAAAAAAAGCTCCCCTTTCACTATCTGAGGCCAAAGCTGAGCCAGCTTGCTAAAAGTCATGCCTTGGATGACCCTAACTTACTGAGCTTGCATTCAGCAGGCTCAGAACCCAACAGAAAGATGGGGTCTCTATGCCTTTCTGTGGGCAGTCACTCCCTATATGCAACTAAAAACAGGTTGGTAAAGTTGCCAACTTTTTTTCTGTTAGAGCTCCTGTATACTTAAAAATGACCCAACTAGCAGAAATATGTTTACATTTCCTCTTGGTTGTGCTGCACGGGGTTGCCATCTTTTTGTTGTCTCTGCTCCTGTACCTTTAACAGCAAACTTGCCATAGCAGGTCCCAATGGGAATAACTTTGCCTATCCACCGATTAAAGTATTTATTTTTTTTTAGTTTATTAACTCTCTTGCTTCCACCTGATTACCATATATATTACATTTTCTCTGACATTGCTGATGGTATGAGGCTGTTCATCGAAGGTAGCTGTTACCCTTTGCAAAATAACACAAATAATTTGATATAAGGCAAATCCTTTCCAACACATTGCTTAAACCTGAAACGAGATCTATACAGGCACACCGAGATGATGCATTTGAAGGACTGAGTCACCTTGTATGGGGAATGACATCAGGCACAGGCAACTGAAAATCACTTTTAAAAACTCCAAAACTATGGTTAATAAATGAATGGGTCAATTACAGTGATTAATTGACAGATGCATTCAATGAGGGATCAATATAGCCCATGAAGGACTGATCTTTTGGGGCAGGTTCCCTAGGTAGAGAGGTAGATGTTCTCAACCAGAGCTGGAATTGCTGCATCAAGAATAAATGCCTTTTTAAAGGAAATATCCACATCCAAATAGGTAGATTTGGGGCAGGAGGGAATTTTCTGCTTAAATCTAAAAGGACAGTCAGGATAAACTTTGGTACAGACTCCTGAACTTAAAATCTCTAGCAAGACCAATGTGAGCTAGTCCACCTCAGACTGAAGATTCCAGGGTACCATTAAAGGGCAGAAACTTGTCAATTGTTCATTATTATATATTTTTTTTGTTTAGCATGGGGGATGCATTTAGATTGCTTTGCCTTAAGCACCAAAATTGGCTTGGTGCTTAAATTGGTCTCTATTTTACACTCTAAAGCTGGAGCTTAGCAGAAATTTGGGCGGATTAGTTGTATGCATGGCAGCTGTTTCTGTTCTGGACAGAACTGTCTGGGGGGTAGTATCTCTCTCAAACCTCTTCTGTTTGTAAGGAGCATGGAGGGGGGGTAGCGGAGATCAGTGGCAGATGATAGGAGTTTCCAAGAAGGGAACTACTCATCGGATCTGAAGCCAGCCAGCACTTTGGGACAACAGACAGGTTATTTCCTTCAAAGCTGGCATGAGGACCGACACAGGAACCACTCACCACGGAGAAGTCGTCAGGCCTGCAGGGCTCACCACGGTATTTGCAGGTCAGCATCATGTCCTCAAGCTGATGGCTGTTTCGATCAAAAAAGTTATACAAATTCAGAGGTTCATCGGGTATCTCAAAGGCAGGTGGGACCAGAGGGAATCCTGCTTCCAAAGGGAGATCGTCATAGCCCACAAGTGGGGAAATATATAACAAGTCACTATAGGTGAGCTGAGAAACACGAATGCGGTTGAAGTTGCAGAAAGTGACGGCAGGGAAAGTCATCTGGGAGCTCTCCTGTTCATCCAGCTGTGTTATGTGATGGTACTCCAGATAGTAGAATATTCGCCCAATCACCTGGTACAGGAAAATGGACAGCGAGAACAGGAACGCACCAGTCCAGAGCGCCTGGCGCACCCCAAAGCCACTCTCCACGAAGATGTGGCTGGCCCCATGCAAGGTGCAGCTGTTGGCAAAGGTTATCAAATCTGGAGCACCTTCTTCCTTTCCCTCCAGTTCTGCTGCATCTTCGTAGTCCACCTCCATGTCTTCCACTTCATGTCGGCTGTAGAGGAACTTGTCACCATTACTCTCAGCTGCATCCTTGACTGTGTTTCTCTCTTGGTTTGGAGTGAAGGAGATGGTGCAGAATATCTGGATGGGCATCTTGCCCCACCAGGGCCCTGTGAGGTAGTCCTCAGCTGCCTAGTGGAGGTACTCCACAAGGACTTTTCAGTGCTGGAAATCAAAGACAGATAGCAAGGGGGAAGAACAGCAAAGAAGGGTGCCGGTGATCACAAGAGGGTCGTGGTGGTGGTGGGGAAAGGACAGCTTGGAAGAGAATGAGGCACAGGGGGAAGGAAGGTGAGAGAAGGAACTTGCAGGAGAAATGGGGCAGGAATGGAGAGGTCCAGCAAAGGAAGCAAGGAAGGTATGAGGAATACCAGAAGCATCCAAGAGACAGAAAAATGGGGAGAGACAGAACTGAAGGATGCAGAAGAGGAAGTGACAGGACAAGCTGCCAGCTGGCCACACCCAGGCAGCTCCTGGGCCCCTGAAGCTTCTCCAGATCCAGCATCCAGAATCCAATGTCTCCCTGCCTCCAAAAGCTTCAGTTTTCCAAAGTTGGGAGTTTTCACCGAGCAGCTGTTCCCTTGCCAGTGCAGCCTGATGGCTGGTGTGTGTTCGCAAACAGCCTTTGGCAGCACAGAAAGCAGACCCAGACGCCTAGGACAGGGCCTGCTTAATAATTCATCAGCTTCCTTGGTATCTGTGTTGGGGTTGGGAGCTACCGAGGGAAGGACGAGCATCTCTCCTCCCCCTCCCTCCTGACCAATGCCTCCAAAAGCCTGGCCAGTGGCCGGTGCCAGATCATTTCCTGCTCCCAGCATGCTGCTGCCAGTTCCAGCCCTTCGCAGCTGTTCCTTATGTGTGTTTGTGTCTAGAACAGGAAGATGCAGGATCCTCAGCCTCTAAACAAATCAGTCTTTGGGTTGAAAGCAGGCAGCATATAGATCTTGCACACCCAGGTTCGTGCAGTGAAATCCTATAGGAAGTGACTCCAGACTAAGCCCACTGAAATCATTCACCCTAGACAACTCTGCATAGGACTGCAGTGAGGTCATTTATAACCATTGAGACTCCCAACAGCCCAATTTTTGGGGGCTGATACATAACTACTAAGGGGCCAACATACCCTCAATGCTGTCATGTCAATGAATAACCCGAAAGAAAATGTGGAGTTCCAAAATCTCAATGTAGGGTTTGTACTGGAAAGACTGAATGCCCCCACACCTTCTTCAATCCTTCCTTCTTGATTCTGGTTCTCTGGATTTTGCATTCTAGCTAGAAGAGGCCCAACAGCCTCAAATGCTAGTCTTCTTAAAATGGATACTCTGCCAGTTTGGTGTAGTGGTTAGGAGTCCCACTGTTCCCTCTAAGCTGAGTTAGTGTGAGCTAGCTCACTAGCTCACAAGTTTTTTAGCCTCCGGCTCACAGATTTTTGCCTTAGCTCAGGAAGGAGGACGCCAGAGCAAACTAATGTATGCAGCAGCCCAATCGCTCACTCACAGCTTTAATGCCCGTAGCTCACAAAGCGGAATTTTTGCTCACAAGACTCCACAGCTTAGAGGGAACATTGGTTAGGACTCTAATCTGGGAGAACCGGGTTTGATTCCCCACACCTCCACATGCAGCTGCTGGTGTGACCTTGGGTCAGTCACAAGTTCTCTCAGAGCTGTTCTCTCATGAGCAGTCCTCGAAAGAGCTCTCTCAGCCCCACCTCCCTCACAGGTAGGTGAGGGGAAGGGAAAGGAGATTGTAAGCCGCTCTGAGATTCGTTCAGGTAGTGAAGGGCAGGGTATAAATCCAATCTCTTCTTCTTCTTCTCTTGTTCCACCACAGTGGAGACCCAAACCAGCATATCACATCATTCTCATCTCCTTCACCCCATCTTCACAAAAACTACCATGTGACAAGAGTGTGACTTGGCAAGTTTCCATGACAGAGCAAGTATTTGAAACTGGTTGTCCCAGGTCCTAGTCTGATACTCTAACCACTACCAGTTCTTCTTCAATCAAAGCATACTTTGTTGTAGGATATATGACACTGGGATGCTTCCTCATACTGAGTCAGACCTTTGGTCCATTTAGCCCAGGCTGGCTTCTCTGACTGATGGTGGCTCCTCTAGCTCTAAGGCAGAGAAAAGTCTTTTGCTACACCTGTGTCGCCTTCCTGTGGCCTGAGATCCTTCAACAAAGAGACACAAAGACTGAACGTGGGACCTCTTGAATACAAAGCATGTGTTCCAGCTCTGAGCTGTAGCCCCTTCTGTATGACCATTTTCTGTGTGCCTCCACATTAATGCATTTGCAAGTGACTGACACTCTTATAGCAGAGCACCGAGCACCCACAGACTAGCAGGATTGGCATGGGGCAAAAGGTTGTGCACCAGAACTGATGGGAACACACAACCCTCACAACAGGAAATAACTGTTTCCTGCTTCCCATCCATAGTTGCCAGTAAGGGCAATACACTGAACCACCTGCCGGCACTGCACTTATTCATGTCCAAACTAGTATTAAAGGTAAAGGTAAAGGTTCCCTTGCTCGAAAGCCAGTCGAGTCCGACTCTAGGGTTGCGGTGCTCATCTCCATTTCAAAGCCGAAGAGCCAGTGCTGTCCAAAGACGTTTCCGTGGTCATGTGGCCGGCATGACTAAACCCCAAGGCGCACGGAACGCTGTTACCTTCCCACCGAAGTGGTACTTATTTATCTACTTGCAGTTTCTTGCTTTCGAACCGCTAGGTTGGCAGGAGCTGGAACTAGAGATGGGAGCTCACTCCATCATGCGGCACCCGGGTCTCGAACTGCTGAACTACTGATCTTCCACAGCCTGCAGTTCAGCGTCTTAACCACTTGAGCCACCGCAGCTCCACCAAACTAGTATAGATGAGTATAGAAGAAGAAGGGAAGAGATTGGATTTATACCCTGCCCTCCACTTGGAGTCTCAGAGCGGCTTACAGTCTCCTTCCGTTCCTCTCCCCACAACAGACACCCTGTGAAGTAGCTGGGGCTGAGAGAGCTCTGAGAGAGCGGTGACTGACCCAAGGTCACACCAGCAGCTGTATGTGGAAGAGTGGGGGAATCAAACCCGGTTCTCCCAGATTAGAGTCCGTGGTCTTAACCACTACACCAAACTGGATGGGTAACATTTCCCTGCATGTTAAAAAAAAAACCAGTGTGACATCACCCAGGAGTACCAAGCCAGTATAAAGTCCAGTCTGATTATGAGGTGCCAGAACTTTGGGAGTAATTTGTGAGAAAGTAAAGGTGGAACCAATTTTGCCCGCAAATAAGCAATTCCTGGGTTCTAGGTTCTTGTGCTGGGATGTGGGGAATATGTGGGTGAAGCACTTCCATAATGGCACACGTGTGTTAGAAAGCCTGTTATGCTGCATACCAGGCCACGAGCATCCTGGAGGCATTTCCTTGCAGCCAGAGAGATGAAGGATACCTCGATGTGTTAAAGGGAGGACAGCTGGGATGTGGGACAGCAATCTGATCCTTTATAATGCCATCATTCCTGACAGTACGTGCCATTAAATAGGTCTGAATAGAATTCTGGGTAGATCTGTGTTAGGATGCCACTGTTAGTCTCATGCAATGGCCAGGCCTAGTGCAGGCATGCATTGCCACACTGGGACATAACAGCACTGTCCTTCAGACCCTGCTTGCGCATGCTAATCGCTGCCCTGTGACAGCCCAGACAAGGTTAACGAGCTCTCCTCTGGACCTCAGCTGGACAAATACTGAAATCCAACAAAACTACTGCATGTATCTTTGGCCAGTGGGCCCACTTTAGCATTCCTAAATAAGGCTCTGAGTTTTTAACTTTCAACAACACCACGGCAGAAAATTGGACAGGTGCAGATTTGCCCATCGTATTTCAGTTTCCTGTCATATAGTTCTTAAGAGGCATAGGAGCCTTTGTCAGGAAGAGAGATGGCAACATCATTGGTTACAGTGCAGCACACCATGATGTGTAAGCATGACTGAAACTATTTGTCCACTGTGAGCATTTAGGTCTACATAACTTCCTTACTAAAAAGACAGGAAGAAAATGTCTCGCAAATAGCAAAGGGTTCGGGTTATCAACTGGTCAGGAAAAAATAGACAGGTCTGCTCTAGTGCCTTTAGGCCCAGCTTCCTCTGCAGTAATTAGCAAGTGAAGCTTCATCCATCACATTCTTTTCATACAAAGGACCTCAGGGCAGCAAGCATTGCTTTCCATTTTACGCTTACAAGAACCCTGTGAGGTATGTTAGTGGTCAGGAGCTCATGGTCACCTACGGAGCTTCTGGATTTGAACCAGGGACTCCCCAATCCAGCTCTCTAACCACTAGAACACGCAGCGTTATCTGCCTGCTACTGATGGTGGACCACAGTGCCGTTAATGCACTAAGGCAAGGGTTCGTTAACAAAAAAAAGAAGAGAGTAACCCTAACTTGGTCAGCAGAGAAGGACAAGGAAATGCAAGAGAGACTGTTCAACCTGCAAGACTGCGTTGGGCTATGAATCTAGAATCTAGGAACCGTATCAAAAATTTATTCTGTTTATTTTCTATATATTCTATGTACCTGTACAAAGTTTAAGGATGCCCATTATTTGTTGCAAGAAAAAGAAAAATCTTTGAAAGGTAAGACGTTTCCCTTGAAGCAAAGTATCCGGCAACCATTTTGGATTGTAAAATACACTTGAAAACTACTGCTGTTGTGATATTGGGAGTCGGAGGGAGAGGAAGCTACAGACTGCGGGCAGCTACTGAAGTACCTGCTCTCCCTCCCCTGGCTCTGCAGCCTTCCGATCCTCCACCCCACCCCACCTTGTGGTTTCTTTTCCCCTGCACTTAGAAGCCCATTAGCAGTGGCCACAAAGTAATTTCCAGCCTCTTGGTCACTGCTGCCCAGCTCAGGGGATGGGAAGTATGTAAAAGGGGCAGCACTTTGAGGCCTGGGGAAGCTGCTAGCAAATTGACTTTCTGACCAGTGCCAGCTCAGCACAAGACTTAGCTCACTGCATCTTGTTGGGTTAACTGTTTGTGTGCTGCCTCCCTGCCTAACCCTCTTGATCACTGTTTACCAAGGATATAAAGGTAAAGGTTCCC